TGAACAATCCAATTCACTCCATATCTGAGGCACATAACCTGCACATTCAGGTTCTCTAACAGCCTCTCAATGGCCCAAGCAGCCAGTCAATCTTTAATTATATTTCCATGTAATTTCCCATTCATTCATTTTTCTTTTCTGAACCCTTCACATTCTTTCTGTCTCTTATCTCCAGCTTTTGTATTTCAAGCACAAAGCTTGTCTCCGCTTTCCCTTTTTCTGTTTTGTTCCCCAGTGAGCATCTGCTTCCGCCTCATTCTTTCTGCTCTCGTTCTGTCGTTTCTTTCTTTCCAGTGGACAGGTCCATGAGAGTGAGAGAGGAGCACCGGCACCCAACTGTCTTGCCTGACATCTATCAACTCAGTTTACAAAAAAAACGTATGCTCACTTGGAACTCCTCATGCATCCAAACTGCTTTTTGCAACTCATCTGAACAAGTTCATCTAAGCAATATTACATGAACAATCATGCTGTTGTTCCAGAAATCAGTCAGGCTGTGATTTGGTTGTATCCGTTTGTTAAGTCTGATGTCACACATCACCATTTCCAGGTCGAAAAATGCTGATAAGATGCCAAAAACAAACACCAAATGGTGCTAATATACACTCACTGTGTGTAAAAAAAATCATGATCCTAATCTCCATACCAAAATCTCAACTGACCAGACAATGATTCATCTTTTCTGAATGTTAAAATATTGGTGCCCAGAAACTGTAGTCTACAAGTGAATAAGATTCATAGGTTCAGCTGTGCTGAGAATGAGTGTGTCATTGCTTTTTTATACAGTATCAGATTAGTAAACAAGCAGCTGAGCACCTTGCATTTTAGATGCATTTTTTAAATGTTTCCTCACAAGTGTCTGCAAGCAACACAGTATTTCATTCGAATCAGTGCTAATAAATTGTTTGAGTGAATGATTCAATGACTCATTCATAGCGGTTGCTAACAATGTTCTTTAGCTGAAGTGCATCTAAAGTTTTATGCACACATAAAAGTCATCCATTCCTTTAAAAGACACAAGTCATTTAATATGTAGTGTTTAATTCAGATTTAAAAAAAAGAAAAAAAAAAGAAAGACATTTTAAAAAAGATTTCAGGGCAACACATTCTAAAACATTTAACAAGGGAAAGAGAATGTTTCATGCATCAAACCAAGAGACATGGAGGAAAAGAAAAGCATTTGGTGATTCACTCATTATGAGAAACAGACTGATAAATTAACAATGAAATCAATCAAACCATTAACGAAGGAATAGTCAAAGACTAATGAACAGAAAGATCGGAGAGATGCTTCACGCAAGGACCAGACACCACAGAACAGATCCAGCCAAGGGCAACACACACAGTGATACAGGATGACATGGTGACTGCTATCTCAGGGCACTTCATATGAACTGTTAGCTTATTATATTAACCTCTTCTGTTAGTGTATCTTCTGTACACAAGAAAGTCACAGCTGTACTAGCACTATGAACACAAGACCAATCACACATACACTCTTAAGAATGATCAGTTCTATCAAGACTTGTTTTTTCTTCTGCAACACAAGGGCAGAATGGTTCCTGTCGTTAGCCAATCCTAGCAGGATAGGATACTCAGGACACTTCTAAAATGTATGAATGTCATTGCATTAGATCAGCGGTTCCCAAACTGGGGTGCGCGCACACCTAGGGGTGCACAGATTGACCACCAGGGGTGCGCGAGAGAATATTTTGTAATAGCGGAAAAATTGTCTCTATATTATTACTCTTTATCATTCACATGTCAACGTTTATTGAGAAATTAAATTTTACATTACAAGCTGTAAATACTCATGATTTCATTTCGCGGTTACAAGCACGTCTGCGTCCCAATAGCCCCGCCCTTTTACCATTATTTTTTATTTATAATTAAAATTTTGATGTTTTCTAATATACAGTGAATATTCGTATTTAGTTATTGCAGTCAAAAATGTGATGTTTAACTGGAGTTAGATGGTGGGGGTGCTTGACGGCTGTCAAACACTAGAAAGGGGTGCACGCAGCAAAAAGTTTGGGAACCACTGCATTAGATAACAAATATATAAAGTGTCAATGTAACAGAAGTAGCGGCATCTTTTTTCTGTATTGTGAGGTACATCTAAGTCAAACAGATTCTTGAAAAAGGAAAAATGTAGGGTGGGGACTTGGTTCTATCCATCGGTTGTTGAATGGATGAAAGGATGTCAAAAAGTGAGCTAAAAGGTCAACGTTTTAAAAATGAAACATATGCATGGATGAATCATTCACAGTAAGTTCAAGCTTTTAGAAAATACTGTAAATGTTACATTTTCATTTCATGGCTACTTTGAAGATAGCACAAGTATACTTTTCAAACAAAACAAAAAAAAAAGACGGCTTTATTTCAAAGATATACTGTTGAAAATGTTTATAAAACGTGTTCATGGTTAATGTGATGAGCAAGTCATTGCAAAAAGGATTTAGAAAGGTTCTAACATCTTTCTTTGCACGTCGTTGGGTTTGATATTTTATTTAATGTAATGACATTCCTATGTTTTTAGTGCTAAGTGATTTAAATGGTCAAATACTGTATATACTGTATCAATAGCCTGTTCCGCACATGTAAGATACTTAGACATGCACTGAATCACAAAACTTATTACGAGGCCAGCAGATAAAACACAAATACACAGTCTCTCTTGCAGTATTAAATTGCTATAAACACACAACAACCTTTACATGCAATTTCATCAGGAATGTGTGAAATTGTGTAGATGGAGAAGTGTTTACATTCCTCAGCCCTCTCTCTTTCTCTGGCAGGGCCGCTTAATCCAATTACGATAGCTGTTTTTCAGTGTGACATTTGGGATTGCACTTCAATTTATTGTGCTTCAAAAGCAGCCTGGCAGAGAGAGAGAAAACGGTGACCCTAAAGCGATTACGTGCACACGCTTCTGTTGTATGTCAGTCTGATGTGGGATTCACTGCGCTGATGATAGATGATCCTTGTGACATGATCGGTAATGATCATCAATTCAATCATATCAGTTACATGATCATAACTGATATCAATATAATTACCTTTGCGTAACCGCATTACCAAAATCTTTTCAGTTCAACTCAAACCTCCAGTAAACTTAGGTTGTACAAGAAGTTAAGTTGGCAAAGATGGTTTATGCGGTGATTTAAGCCTTAAATAGACTCGGGTCAGGAGGTGTTACACACATACAGCAACACCCCCACACACACACACTACTAATCTGAGAGCAGCTACTTCTGAGGGTTAAATATCTACGCTACTGCTAAATCTGTCTCATTCACTCTTTTTCTGTGCTCTCCATCAAACGCTGCCAGAGCCGATGCCTGTCACCCTCCCACTGTCTTCCTGAATGTCTCACAGAATAATTACACAGAAGTCAGACACAGATAGACAGACAGTGAACACTGAAACAGTGACAACTGAAAATTCACTGCAACAAACATCATAAAACGGCCAACACTGATAAATAAAAGTTCAAAGTTTGTTTTGGATCTTGTGCACCCCCATGTCATTCTAAACCCATATATTTAGTCCAAAAATGACAACAACAACAAATAAACAAACGAATAAATAAAAGTAGTCAATGTGACTTGTGTACTGAATTTCATAAACCCTGAAGACACATGATTAGCTTGTATTTATATTTACTCTTATGACTTGTATAGACTATTTTGCAGTATTTTTATGGCGTGTTTTAGTGCGTTACATAAAAGGTTTATTTTTTAATAAAATGAAGTGTACTTTTTGTATGGGTGGTCACTTTCTGCTTTTGTCGTATGAAAAGGATCAGCATCAACATTCTGCTAAACAACTTGTTTTTATGTTTCACAGGTCATATGGGTTTGGAATCACATGAGAGTGAGTAAATGCTGTCAGAATTGTAACTTTCGGGTGATACAGTTGAGTACGCAGTCAGTAAGAGCATTTGTCACCATGTCAAATGTCACATCATGTTAACAGGCTAGTATCTCCTATTGAACATTTGATGTCAAGGAGTGTGACCATCAAGGGACAAGGCAAATACAGATAGATACAGACAGCTAATTACATCAATTACATGGTTTGTTATTTCAAGAGAACATCAGCTGAGCTGTTTATTCTTGGTTGAGTGGTTTCTCTCTCACACACTCACTCACACACACACACACACACACACATTACATACATATTTAAATGAGAATTATTTTTAATGATATGAAGCACCTATTCACATATTTTCCAATTGCTCATCCATCCACTTTAGGATTATTTCAGTCCATTTTCGGATTTATTCCTTTTCGCTGCTTGACTTCCCAATAATGTCACCATTCATTCATGATATATGAGTAGTTATGAACTCGACATGCTTTTCAGACCATCTGTCCGATTCGTATTTAGTCCTGAAACATGCTTTTCTTCTAACACAAGCAATATTAAGTCCAGCACGTTTGTTCAGTCTTCTCTTGACAATTGAATGTTCATGTTTGGTCATTCTGTCCATTTAAATATCTTTTAAAATATCATCATTACAGTTACACAAGAGTAATACTGACACTTAACATAAAAAAAAAGAGTTCAAAAAAAGTAAGCCCCTTCATTCAGTAACTGAAGGCTCGGATTGGCTCAAACAGGAGTACAAAAAAAAACATGAGTCATTGGTTACTCTTTTGGATTGATTTAAGACAGCACTGAGAGACGGATACAAGTGTAAGGCAAGGGAACAAGGAATGATGTGTAAGATACAGCATTAACTAATTTAAAGGGACAGTTCATACAAAAAAAGAGGAAAATCTGTGATCATTTACTCACCTTCATATAGTCCCCCCTCCAGAAAAAAAAACACTTTTTATGTTCTTTGGGACAACATAAAAGCTGTGAATGATGACATAATTATTATTTTTGGGTGAACTATCCCTTTATGGAAGAAAATGAAAAATTACAAAAACGGACTTATCAGACCTTTTAAAAGTTAAATATAAATATCTAATTAATACACATTTAAATATCTTTTAAAATATCATCATTACAGTTACACAAGAGTAATACTGACACTTAACATAAAAAAAAAGAGTTCAAAAAAAGTAAGCCCCTTCATTCGGTAACTGAAGGCTCGGATTGGCTCAAACAGGAGTACAAAAAAGACATGAGTCATTGGTTACTCTTTTGGATTGATTTAAGACAGCACTGAGAGACGGATACAAGTGTAAGGCAAGGGAACAAGGAATGATGTGTAAGATACAGCATTAACTAATTTAAAGGGACAGTTCATACAAAAAAAGAGGAAAATCTGTGATCATTTACTCACCTTCATATAGTCCCCCCTCCAGAAAAAAAAACACTTTTTATGTTCTTTGGGACAACATAAAAGCTGTGAATGATGACATAATTATTATTTTTGGGTGAACTATCCCTTTATGGAAGAAAATGGAAGATTACAAAAACTGACTTATCAGACATATTAAAAGTTTTCAACATAAATATCTAATAAATACAAAGAAAAATTGCTCCTTCACTGGCCATTATTTATATTCCTCTCCAAACAGAAATAATATGAGGCCTCGTTGCCTCAGAATCCAGCGATGTGGCAGTACGCTTCCAGTGAGGCCAACAGGATGTAGATCAGCCAGAGCGAGATGAAGAGTAAGGACGTCAATATCTTGCAAGTCCGAGGACCGCCAAGCTCTCCTCCAGCCACTGAGGGGCGCCGGCGATACATCAGCACGCTGACACACACCACAGCCAAAGCAGTGAAGAGTGTGACAGAGAAGGCCAGAGAACCTGGATCAACTTGGAAAGGTTTGCCCTTGGTACGCCAGTATACAGCAGCTATGGTCCACGCCACACCGATGCCCAGGAAAACATTGACAGCGTTGCTGCCCGTCACATTACCAATGGAGGCGTCTGCATACTGGTCTTGGATGGCAGCGACCTTACTGGCAAAAGTGTCTGTGCAAAGGAGAGAAAGCATTAAATAATGTTCAGACTAATATAATTATGATTTGAACTGCAAAATCTTGTTATTGTATGAAAGAGAACAGAGAAAGAGTTTTGACTGAAAATAGAAGTGGGAAGTGTCAGAAAGAGAGGTCAACGAAAGGGAAAGGGGTAAGCGAAAGACAAGAGCAAAGGAGGAACTGAGAGAAAAGGAAGAGAATGAAGGAGGAGGAAGTGAGAGAAAACAGACAGGGTTTAGGTGAGTGTACTGAACAGAATCAAAGGAAAAAACAGACACACATACACTGATACACCAGCTGCAAACACGTCCTGAAGATGAGATGAGCCACACATCAATGCCCTTCTGCTCTAATAACCAGCCGCACTAAAACATGGTCAAAATTCATTCACCTGGTCTGAGGTGATGAAAAGTGTCTGACAGGTAATACAGGCATGGCATGTACAGTATGTAGATTATGTCAGTATTATTTATGCACTATTATAGTATTTTAAAATATTTTGAATTAGCTTGAATTTTTATATTTGCAGTTTTAGTATTTTTATTATGTGCTTTTGTTTGACTTTTGTGTTTTTTAATATCTCTATTTAACTTTAGTTAAAGTTAACAATAACAACACTGGCTGCTCCTGAATTTTGATTTCATTATTTGACATTTTAAGAAGTAATACATACTATTACTATTCTTAGTAGTGGTGCTTTCTAAGTTATAGAGATATGGGATAAGCTCAGTGCCCCAGAACATCCTAGAACAAGTCAATAGCAACAAGTCAAAAAATACTCAGCCAAACACCTACATGCACTAGGAACCATCCACAACAACGTAGCATACTGAAGGCTGGATTTGTATGTGGAAGCACTATTGACATGTTCTTCAGAAAATGTCAAAATATTTCATACATGCATTTCATTTCTGAATTAAAGGGGTCATATGATGCGATTTCAATTTTTCCTTTCTCTTTGGAGTGTTACAAGCTCTTGGTGCATAAAGAAGATCTGTAAAGTTGTAAAGACTAAAGTCTCAAATCCAAAGAGATATTCTTTATAAAAGTTAAGAGTTAACCACGCCTACCTAAAATGGCTCGTTCTAACACGCGAAACTACTTTGTTTGGTCTTCCAAAAGAGGACACGACTACAAATCAGTGGTTAAGTTGTATTTACAACACTGTTCCAGAACAGACCGATTAGTTTTGTAAAAATCGACGCGTTTCAAAAAGGCGGGGCATAGAGGAGAAACAATAATGTACAGTATGTGGAAAATCATGTGTTTTTTTTACTTTAAACCGCATAAACACATTTCATTACACCAAATACACAAAATAATGTTCTTTTTAGCAGCATCATATGACCCCTTTAATAAATTCATTTGAAACATTTCAATTTCCTATATTTATATATAAGCCTTTTTTAATGTCATTAGTGATAAAATCAACAATTGAGGAATGCCTCGGATGCCATTTTTGTATTATTTGAAACTTGGTAACAAGCAGTTGAATTTGGGTGCGTTTTTTGGATCCTGAACCAAACCGAATCAATACTGAACTTATTTCAACTGAATAATGACTGTTTACTTCTGTCTTTTTAAAGCTGCTTTACAGCAGAATTGAATTTTTTTTGCATCACTGAATCTATTTTCTTGTTTATCACCATAAAGCTGCTTTGAAACAATCTGTACTGTATAAAGCGCTATATAAATAAAGCTGACTTGACTTGACTAACCTGGGATAGACGTTCCCAGGGCAACAAAGACCACAGCGGTGACTGAATCCTTCAGGCCAACAGTGCACCCAAAGTGGGAAGCAAGATCGCCTGTGACCGCCGTCAGGACACCAATCAGAGAGATGGACACAATGAAGCATGCCCATCCATTCCAATACTCTGTGGGTGGGACGAAGGCAAAGAGAACCTTCCAGAAGACTGTGAGGAAGTGCATGATGTAATCAAAGCAGGATGGAAGACGCTCTTCACCACTTTCCTCCTCATCATCGTCACCTGAGTTAAGCAATATATGTTAGAGGGACTGAGAGAGTTCAAAGCCAGTTGAGAATTTGGCCAAATTTACACCACAAAGGTAGCACAGAAGCACTCCTGTGTCTTTACACAGACTGTTTAATGCTGCTCAGAGGTGACATGAATGCACTTCCACAGGAATTACTACTGTATGCTTGGATACAAGGGGCTGAGATGGGTCTGAGCAGGTCTGGCTTTTATGCAGCATTGCACCTTTACACTGAATTTTGAGCAGGTACAAAGCAGTCTTAACTCAGCAGTGTAAAGACACCTTCTGACTCATAAAAGAAAATCGTTGAAGGGTTAGTTCACCCAAAAATGAAAATTAACCCATATATTACTCACCCTCAAGTCATCCTAGGTGTATATGACTTTCTTCTTTCAGATGAATCCTGCTTGATATTTTCATACAGGTTCAAACAGACACAGCACTCTATGGGTCAAAACTTTGGGTTCAGTAAGATTTTTAATGTTTTGAATGAAGTGTCTTATGATCACCAAGGCTGAATTTATTTGACCAAATATACAGTATAAACAGTAATATTTTAAAATAGTTCTCTATTTCTAATTTAAAATATTGTTTATCCCTGTAACGCTGAATTCAGCAGCCATGACTCCTTTAGAATTCATTCTCATATGCTGAATTGGTACCCAAAAAACATTTCTTATTATTGCCAATGTTGAATAGTTTTGCTGCTTAATATATTGATGGGTAAACTTGATATTTTTTCAGGATTCTCTGCATTTAGCATAGATGAACAGCATTTATTTGAAATAGAAATCTTTGTAACATTATAAATGAAACTTTTGAAAATGTTAAATGTACCTTTTTTATTTAAATAAAACGAACTGACCCCAAATTTTGAACATTAGTGTATATTTTTAATCTAACCTATTTCTTATTTTTACAGAAGCTGAAAATGCATTAATACATATTCATAATTGTACAAGTGTCTCAATGATGAATGATAATGCCCTTGTACAAAATGTAAAGGGTGAACAAACAGGAAGTAGCATACCTGCACTCACAGTTACAGCACTCACAAACTGCTCTCTCCAGCTACTGCTGCCGACTACCAGAGCCAGGTTAGTCTTCTTAATGAGCTTATCCACTGTGCTCTACAGACAGACAGACACACACACACATATATATTAAGAACTGTTCCATACTGGCTTTCAGTCAGTATTACACAGTTTGATGCTTTGACTTTGCTTGGAATTATTGTTGTTGGTGAAAATATTTATATCCATATATAATATTTATTGAACTGTTACATAAAACTAATATCACATCCACAATAATAATGATATATTAGCATGACTGGTGATACTGCTTAAATATTACACATTAATCAGTATGCATTGCTAAAAAAAAATTTTTTGTAACTCATCTTGTTGCATTATTGCATCACTTAAGGGTTAAAGAGGCAGTTTTACCTTAAATTCGTAAGACTCTTCAATCACCACCTCCAATCTGGTATGTTCTCCCAGACTAGGACATCCCATTTTAGCTACTTCCTCTTCATCCGCCCCAATCTCTGTCTTATTCTCGTTAGAGTCTCCTAAACATAAAACATGACAAAAAAAAAACTTACTGGCAACATATTCCCTATATTTGTCCAGCTAGTACAATGTGGATATTAAACCTCATGAAAATGATCAGCGCGAACAAAAATGAACAGGTATAACAGTGATTGATGGCTGGATGGAATAATACACGTTGCAATTTCTGAAACTGACAAGCAGGAAATTTCATAAATCTTATGTGTGCCATTGTGCTAATTGAATTGTAAAGTAAGGCGTTTAAGATGGAAGGGTAATTGCCACAGAAGGCTGTATAAATAATGTAGAGAATAGTGACAGTCACACTGCTAACACAAGGTGATACAGAGACAGCCAATTATTTTCTGAGGTAACAAACTTCAAAGCCTGCAGGTATTAGTGTTTAAGCCTTTACTGTAAACATATTTCCTACAGTACACATTATTTACTAAGCCAGGGGATTTGAAATGATGCATGCTAAGAAGGAAATAAAGAAATCATTTTCACTCCATTAAAAATGTCTTGAAGCTGAAAAGAGAATTACGAAATCACTGCTCATCGTGAACGCTCAATTTCTTTCACTCCTGTTTTTTTAATTTAGCTTTTTTCCTTTCTTTTATCTGTAACCTTTCATCTTTTATCACACATGCTCTCATGCTCTCCTCATTAAATGACCTCCACAATCGTTTTATTTGCGGCTTCGACTGCACTGCTCATTTGCAAGCTTTAATTTTTAGTTATTTTCTGAGAATGAGCAACAAAAAGTGGCACAAAAACAAGGCTGCTGGTGTAAATAAACGTATGTAAATGAGACATTCAGCTGCTTCCGTCTGGTGTACTCCACTGGCTAATTAGGAAACAGTCTTTTATTTCTATACATCCGATTAGCAAAGGTGTGAAATCCTGAGATTAATAAATAGTAAGACACAAATGTTGTCCACACACAAAATTTACCAATACTAAAGACCAATTTGATCAGTTTGGTAGTTCTTTGTTTATGGGTATATGTGACCCTGGACCACAAAACCAGTCATAAGGGTTCATTTTTCTGAAACTGAGATTTATACATCATCTGAAAGCTGAATAAATAAGATTTCCATTGATGTATGGTTTGTTAGGATAGGACAATATTTGGCTGAGATACAACTATTATCTGAAAATATGAAATATGAGGGTGCAAAAAAAATCTAACTATTGAGAAAATCGCCTTTAAAGTTGTCCAAATGAAGTTTTTAGCAATGCATATTACTAATCATCAATTAAGTTTTGATATATTTAAGGTAGGAAATCTACAAAATATCTTCATGGAACAAGATCTTTACTTAATATCCTAATGATTTTGGCATAAAAGAAAAATCGATAATTTTGACCCATACAGTGTATTTTTGGCTATTGCTACAAATATAACCGTGCTACTTATGACTGGT